GAGAGGTCCTGCAAGAGAGCTGGAAAGGGACTCTTAATCAGGGAGTAGTGATAGTTAAAATTGCTACACTCTCCTTTTTTTCCCTTTTGCCAGTTGTAGCAGCTTGTGGCTCCACAGCCAGTCTTGCCCTGATTTCCTTCAGGGCTCTTGGTGCATGTACCAGCCTGGCTCTTGGCAGGTTTAGGTTCTGGCCAGTCCATGCCAGGAACCAAATGGAATCTGAAAGTAACAACATGGTGGCTGGTGCTTCCCCTTCTGTGGTTTCCTTGCCTTCACCAGCTCAGCAAATCTGGGTGCCCCTGACAGTGTCCTTGTTATGATGCACTCATACTTCCCCATTATGATGCTCTTATTTTCTTACAACTTCCCCATCTGAGGCCCATCTATGTGATCCCACCATTGCTTCTGGGAGGCCTCAGAAGCCAGGTATCCTCTCCCATCCCAGAGGACACAGAGAGACCCCCCCAATCCATGCAGAGAGCTGGGGATGGGTACTACCAGAGCAGCAGCTGGGATACTCCTGTGCACCCCTGCCCCACAAAAATGAAGCATCAGGTCCCCAGGGAGAAAGGTGATGCAGAACATCCCCTGAGCTCCTGAGCGGATTTTAGCTGGTGCCCCACTGTGCCAGCAGAGGCCCTTGAACCGTGCTCTGGCCTCTCCCTCATTCAGTTCCTGGTATTAACCCCACTGGCACCCCAGCACGGTTCTGGGGGTGCCACTGCTGCTGTCTCCAGGCACTGCTCAGGCTGTGGCAGTGAGCTGACAGCAAGGCCATTGTGCCAGCAGGACAGGTTCAGTGTCCCCAAGAATGGATTGGGGAGTCCCCAGAGCTGACACTCCACGGCCCCCAGCCCTCTTTCCCCCTCCTGCAGTAGCAGGCCAGCAAGCTGAGCCTGACAGGGACCAATGAAGAGGGATTCTACAAGTTTTCCCTGACAGCCAGCAGGAGCTGGCACGGGTGGCACAGAAGGTGGCAGAGGGATTCTACAACTTTTCTCTGACAGCCAGCAGGAGCTGGCACGGGTGGCACAGAAGGTGAGGTTAGGGGTCTTCACGCCCCATGTCTGGCAGTGCACAGGCCAGGGATGCTCTGGTAGCCAGCTGCAAACCACCCACCAGACCCTCATTTACCCAAAAAGGCTCATTCCTGCAGAAATTAGGTATTTTGAGAGGGTACATGATATTAACAGTGGTTCATGTGGCTAGTGGTTCTCACTAGCAGGGATAAGGGGTAACCAGGCTCAGCGGGGAGTGTGGCACTGACACCAGCTGCCCCTGTGCCATCCCCTCAGGGGCTGCACCTGCCAGCTGGGAGATGCTGGAGTTTAGGAAAATTTTTTGGTTGTTTTAGTTGTTTTGAGATTTTGGTAGGGGTTAACCGAAATGTTAACCACCAACCAAATGTTGGTGGTTTGTGCCCACCCAGGGATGCCAAAATTGTTAGGGTTTGTTAGTTGGGATTTTAATAAGGTGAAAGTTTTTGAGATTGTGAGAGTTTTCCTTCTTTAGTTCGTGTAGCTAAAGAAGGAGTTTGAAATGTGTTTGACTGTGTTTTTTTTATTTAGAACATTTGTTGTTTTTTTTTTATTTAGAACTTTTTTTACTTGTTGAGTTTTGTTTAGAAAGGAAGCTATTTCTATTTGTTGTGAGTTTATAAAATATAAATAAAGTTATAAATAAAATAATTTATAAAGTAATACAATAATTTATAAAGTTATAAATAAAAAATAACCTTAAAAACACAATCAAACACATTTCAAACTCCTTCTTTAGCTACACGAACTAAAGAAGGAAAACTCTCACAATCTCAAAAACTCTTACACTATTAAAGTCCCAACAAACGAACCCTAACAGGGGGCACCTCATACACACCACTACAGCAAAATTCTTGCTTGAGAAAGGTAGGATATAACCAGTTCCTAAAGACCCCAACAGTGCACACTCAGAAAGCAAGCTATGAAACTTGCTATTTCCTCCTTCTTTTCCAGCGTCTAGCCTTGTTCTGGCTTTCCTCAGAATTCTGGTCAGCAAAGTCCACATCCCAGCCTGGCTCTCAACCAACACATCATTGCAGCAGTAGCAGGGCTTGTGTTTGGGGGTTTGGCCTCTGGCCATTCTCGCCACAGACTCAAATGGAATCTGAAAGTTGCAGATCTATCACAAGCACATCCCCTTCTGTGGTTCCCTTGATCTCTCTAGCTCAGCAAAACTGGGAAATTCTGGCATAATTTCCTTGCCATGATGCACTTATTTTCTCTCCTTGGAACTCTGGGTGAATAGGAGGGAAGCAGCAACAGGTACTGAGCCTTGTGTAGAGGAAAACCCTGCACCCACCCCAGCTCCAGCCCTGCAGTACCATGAAGTTCACAGACACAAATTGTAGGATCATTTATGTTGGAAAAGACCTTTAAGATCATTAAGTCCAACTGTTAACCCAGCATTACAAAGTCCACCACCAAACTATGTCACTAAACACCACATTACATCATCTACATGTCTTTTAAATGTCTTTAGGGATAGTGACTCCACCACTTCCCCAGGCAACCTGTTCCAGTGTTTGACAACCCTCCCAGAAAAGAACATTTCCTTAACATGCCCAGGTTCAATGTGAAGCCATTTCATGTCGTCCTGTCACTTGTTACCTGGGAGAAGTGAGCCACCTCCACCTCACTACAGCCCTTTCAAAAAGTTGGAGTGCAGTTCTCTTCTACCATCAAACAAACCCATGGAAGAGCATTTATAGAAACTTCTGTGAGCCAGACAGAAGTTTGACATGAGGATCCATGTTTACCCCTGAAAGAATTTTCTACCAAGGTCATTGACATAGAAACCAAGAAAGAAAGAAGGATAAATAAGATAAAACTGCAACTGGCTGCTCCAATAAGCACCTTGTCTGTCTTTGGTGACCAACGAGTAAAGTGTAAACTTATGAATTTTGTAAGAATGTATAAAAAGCATACATGCTATAATAAAAATAGGCTTGAAGCCTTCTGAAAACGGAGTGTGTTGCTTTGTATTGTGACCATCTCAACTACAACACAAACCCAGCTCCTTCAGCTGCTCCTCATAAGATTTGTTCTCTCTTGAATCTGCAAATCACAGCCCCGTGGCTGGCACTTCCCTTTCTGCAGTTTGTATGCCTCATATACTTTTCCTGGTATGACACACTCATTTTCCTCTTGAAACCCTGTGCCCACCCCGTGGTGGGAGTATAAAAGGAGACCAGCAGGAGCAGGGGACCATGCAGAGGAGAGCCCTACAGACACCCCAGCTCCAGCCTCACTCGTGGCTCTCTCAGCCTTCCCAGCACCATGAAGGTCCTTGCAGCTGCCCTGGCTGTTCTGCTCCTTGTGGCCATCTGCTCCCTGGCTGAGGCTGATCGCAGAGTCTCCAGGAGTCCTGCACTTTCCAAGGACGGTAGGTTCTCCTTCCCCAGGAGAGAGCCCCATCCCCACTGTTAGACCCTCATGTCCATGGAGAAGGCTGGGAGTGGATGGTATCACCAGTGCAGGGACTAAGCCTCAGAGATGGAGGGTTTCAGGGGCTGTTCCCAGAGGACACAGCACAGGTGATGGAAAATCCCCTGGGAGATAGGCAGAGCCTCTGCCGCAGTGTGGGGTCTCACTGGGCCCATCTCTCTTCCCTCACAGAAGACAAAACGATGTGCTGCTTCTCCTACATTTCATACCCCCTTCCACACAGCATCATCAGATCTGCCTACAAGACCAGCAACACCTGCTCAATGCCAGCCGTGGTGTAAGTACCCAACATGGCCAGGCTCCAGGCCAGCACCCCAAGGGTGTCCGGGGTTGTCCAGGATGGGGAAGGGCATGGACAGGGACAACAAGTGTGCTACCAGCAGGACCTAGCAAAAGCACCCTGATGCCCTGGCTGAGTGCCTCAACACTGTTTTTCCCAACAGCCTGATCACCAGGAAGGGGAAGGAGATATGTGCAGACCCCAAGGCTCTCTGGGTGCAGAAATATCTGTAGCTGAAGCATCTGGAGCACTGACTCCTCCCTGCTGCTGCCCCAGGGCAGAGGGCTCAGGCCCCAATAAGAGTGCTTGAGCTGCATCCTTCTTCAAAGGAAACATTTATTACAATTGGCATTTACTTGTTTAACTAAATTTTGCTTGCATAAATGCTTGAATAAAATGTTTGGCTTGTCGAACCTTTTGGGTGTCTCTGAAGTCCCTTGCTGGAGCCCCAGCATGATAGATAGGACCCACAAGGAGTCTTTTGCCTTCCCCACTCCCTGGTTTCACTGCTACCCACTGTGCAGAGCAGCCTCATGACAGCCCCCATTCCCTCTCCCCAGCCTGGACTCAGCTCCTGCATCCCAGCATGACCCAGACATACCTGTGGGGTGACACTGGCAACTCATCCATTTCTTGGGGCCCTCTCCACACAGCACACATGGAGCCCAGTAATAAAACCCCTGGGCCACACAGCCCTGCTGAGAAACTGCAAACAAACTCTTTGACATATTTTCCCCAGAGACTAGAGGATCTGGACAGTCTTTGACTACCTGATGCCCCCACTGCTAGTCCCCTGCAGTGGTGGGGCTGTGGTCCAGGTGCTCCTGGGTGCTGCTGTCCCCACATACACACTCGGTGCCACAGTGCTGGCAGAGGAGCAGGCAGGAGCAGGCAGCATTGTCCCCAGCACTGTCCTCTGTCCTCATGCCACTGCCCAGCGCTGGGGACAGGAGTGGGACGTCTCTGCAGGTGACACCAGCTCTGCCCCTGGGCCACACTCTGCCCTGCAGCACTTCTGCTTGGGCCAGGACACACAGAACTATACCAAAACTGGTCACTTGGGGTCACAGAGGTAAAGGCGCTGGAAAATGACATCCAACAAGCCAACACAAGCAAACGAATGGTGCTGCAGCCCCTCTCTATTTCTAAAATTTTTAGTGTAGCTCAAAAACTTAGGCAAACAAATGCATAAAGCTGTGCACAAGTACACTCAATACTAGAAGAAGATTGAGAATCTGTTGGAGTTTATAGAGCATAGAAGTTCAATTTATTTGCAGAGAGCCTGAAAACTCAATCAGTATTTCAAATGACAGACAAGACAGAACCACCAAAATTACATACATATATACACTGTAATACTGAGGCTACAAGAAGCTCTAAATCCTAAAATTGATGTGTAGAGCTGCAGAAGATTTGGGCAAGGCTGATGGACTTCTTTCTGCATCATCAGCTTGCTTCAAAGCTCGCTTCAACTGCTCTTCAATGCAATGTATAGTGCAATGCTTTTGGCCACTTCTGCAATTCAGTCTTACAGCAACAGCTTCTAGGTTATTAACACTGAAAATCTCTGACATAGGAAAAATGTGAGAGAGAAAACACAAAATTTTTATATTACTTACAGGCAAAATATTACAGTCCAGTAAAAATCCTCCCTGGCGCATTGTTTTCACAATCTCATTGTAGTTTAGGCAATCTATTGGTTCTTATAAACACAACAACACTGGATTAAATACTGTGCATTTTCACAGCATCGTAGAGGCTTTTTTCTTAGTACAGCTTGACTTAATTCCTTCCCAAAACTGCCCGTTGACCACTCTTTGGCTGGCTCCTTGAGGAGGGCACACTGAGATAGGAGGTTGGCACCATCAGGAGCGGCTCTCCTGCCCAAGAGCGGCACTCTGAGCACACAGCACCGAGCCCAGAGCCATTCCCACACTTCACCCCTGGGGAACAACCCAAGCTCGTGTCCCTGCCCATCCCACCGCCCTCCTGCCCTTCCCACCGCCCTCCTGCCCATCCCACCATCCATCCCTCTGTGCTGTCCCGGGTACCCGCGTTCTTCTCTGCCACCGCCAAGGCAGCACGGGGGAACCGCTCCCCGTTCTTGCCTTCCACTCCCCGAGCTGCCTTTTTCTTTGAACTCTCGGACATTGTGTTACTACCCGAAAACCTTGTCTGATTAAAGTAGTGGTGTTCGAACCCAGCGTCCCCTTGTTCTCGCACAGCTGACATCAACACCAAGTGTTGGGGGGGGGGGGGAACTACTCACAAAACGTGCCATATGCAGCATATTTAGTGAAGCAAGCCCTGAGGAGAATGCCACGGAGAGATGGGCTCACACCTAACACCTCTCACGCTCCCGGACCCCAAACCAGACTCTGGAATTCCGGCCGCGCCTCCGCCCGTCCAGCACCGCCCGCCGCTCCCGCACGGCATCTCGGGAGTTGTAGTTCCCCGCGCGGCGCGACATGGCGGCCGTGCGGGCGCTGCCGGCCCTCGCCGCCGCGCTGCTGCTGGCGGCCGCCGGCCAGGCCAGCAAGTACTCCCGGGAGGCCAACGAGGGGCTGGCGGCGGCCGACGGCAAGCGGCGGGAGGCCGGGGAGTTCCGGGTGGTGAGGCTGAACCAGGTCTGGGAGAAGGCGCAGCGGGTGAGTGGGGCGGCGCGGGGCGATGGCGCTGCCGCGAGTGGGCTCCGAGGTCGGCCCGGCCGCTTCAGACACTGATTCCCCGTCAGGGAGACGGGAGGAGCGGGCACCTGTGCGTGGGAGAGGCCGAGGCTGTCTGGCCCGGCTCGGGGCTGCGGTGGCGTTTGTTCTGCTCTCGGGCACGGCAGTCCCGACCCGCTGCGCGCAGCCCGCGGCGGGAGCGGCCTCCTCCGCGCTGGGACGGTGCCGGAGCCCGCGAGGTGCTGAGCTGCTCCTGTTTAAATGCAGCTAAACCACATGTCCAGGAGGTGGGAAAAAGAGGGAAGCCCCGTGGTGGGGCTTCCAAACCAAACTTCCCGCCGTGTAGGATCTGCGCTTGGCTCCAAGGCTCGCTGGTTGATGCTTCAGCCGTGTTGTTCAGGGCTGGGATGCTCGCATCTGTCTGGAGGCCGTGGCCTCGCTTCCTGCCCTGCACAGGGCAGAAGTTCACTGCAGGCGGAGAGGAAACCTCCACCCTGGTGGTTGTGTCGCCTACATTCACATCAAGTGATGTAGACAAATGCAACAGCAGCAAATGGGTTTCACCATTCCCAAATGAGACCCTTAATTTTGACAGTGAGTCAAAACAATATCTGAGTTTCTCTCACAGTGGACTACAAAAAATGTTTAATTAAAGTGAAAATACAGTCAAATTATTTCATTACAGTGGAAATATTTACTTAGAACTAAAAAGAACAGCTGCAGTGGGAGGAGAAGAATGCACTGCAGATATCCCCTGTGGACCATATCCCATTGTGGACCATGGGAATGACTGGTAAAGGTTCAGTTCTTTCAGGCAATGAAATATAGTTAACATTAATTTTGGATCTTCTGTATTCTGAATAGCCTGAGCTATTGAATTGGAGGTAAGGCATCCTTGAATTTAGCCAAAAAATAGAATCCTGCCGTAGTGCTGCCTCCCAATGTGCTAAAGGTAGATAGCAAAAATACTCCTTTCCTCGATGGGTGACAGATGGAATGGGGCATAGGGAAGTGTGTTAATGAAACTCCAGCTGTTGAATTGACAGCTGAAAAAGAAACAACAGAGACTAGAAATAATCTGTAATGATAGTAATGTCAGCTACCTCTCACCTTTCCAATTACAGTCTTTTCTCATGTTCATACCTGGCTCTTCTGGAATTAAAATTTGAGGTGCTTTACATCATCTATGTTAAGATGCTAAAATATAAAATGGATTAGCTCTTATCAGTAAAGAACTAAGGGTTAGTAAATTCTATATGTGTAAGCTAGATTTTAGAGATGCAAAACCTACTTAAACTAAGTTTGCCAACATATAAATTTCACTTTTGAGTACAACTGTCACTCAGCATGTGTTTTATAAAGTGATTTTTCAGTATGTCTGGGCAATATATGAAATAAGAGGGAAAACTAAGCCTGTGTGTTACATTTGCTTTGAAATACTTCTATGTGTCAATGCAAAACTCTTCATTCCTTTATTTTGGTAGTGATAGAGAAACTACCAAAAAACAGGGAACTTATTTTGACATAAAAGTTTGATACCGCAGTTTAGCATTGCAACACACAGCTGGAGGAGCAGTCCTTAAAAAAGCCCCAAAATGTTACTTAGAGGGACCAGGAGCTGGCAGCCAGACTTTCCTTTTGTTTCCCTGAGGGGGGGTGGGAAGGAGTGCTTGATCTTTCTCCAGAATCTCTTTTCATAAAGAGTAAATTTGTAGTAAAGGGCTCTTCCCTCTTGAAGGCAAGAGGGTAGGTAAGGATGTTGCAGGTAATGATTGCAGCCAGCCAAACAGCAAATTTTGTAATTATTGTAATGTTCACAAATTTCCAGCACTCATTCCCAGAACTGCCAGGTACCTGTCTTGGATGTTAATGTCCAGGCAGCATAAGCAATAAGGAATAAGGAATGAGTTTAAGGGGCTTGTTTCTTGCCTGTTTAATCATTAAACTTGACTTTGCACCTCTGGTTCTAGTTAGTTATTCCAGCATGTGAGTGATGGGAGTAAAGTGATGAGGAGTCATACCGTTGACATTTTTTACTTGGTATACTCAGGGTCCAGCATGGAATAACCTTAAAGGAAGTAGTTCTTGAACTGAATACTTTAAATTAACTTATGTATTCATTCTGTATTACATTAATGGGACAGGTGACGGGCTTCCAAAAGGTTTAAAAGGATTTATAATGCTTACAAGGACAGTTACTTTATTTTCCTACTAAATTATAATGAGAATTAGAAAAATATTGCTCTAATTGGGAGAAATTTTAATAGAATCTTGTTTTCTCTTAAGGAATAGTGGGCTTAATGTAGTTCCTTAGTATTTATTAAGACTTTAACATGTTTGATTGATGATGTCTCCAAGCTTTTTGTTTAGTAGTTCTGATATTCTTTTCTATGACTTCTAGAAAACAGAAAGCTGTACATGTTTATGGGATTGCACTAACTGCAGAGGGTCTCTAACATAAACTGCACTGTGTAATCTTTTATACAGTAGTGTGTTTCTGATTACAAGGTCACATAGAAAAGATTTTATTTTATATGTGCAGTACTTAGGAGCTAAATTACTTCTTATCTAATTATGCCTGGTTATTTATTCCTGTATTTCCTCAGCCCAACTACATGTGATGTCCATGCTACTTGAATGCAGATTAATATTAAGAGTACATAGCTACCAAAATGCTCGGCCCTTCCATTCACAATTTGTACCAAACCTTGCACTCAGTCTTGAAGCTTCAGTACACAATTCTTGCTGAAGAAAATGATACTTGATGCCATTGCAGCAGTGATGCTTGGGCTGTCCAGGTCATCCTGCACCAGAAAAGCAAACAAGTACATGATTAAGGTTTTTCTTTTACTCAGTACATACTAAGAACCATAAATAAAGTAGTTCCTTCTAAGTGCTTTGTTTCTATAAAGCAGTTCCCCAAAAGTAGATGGTAAAGGACACAACAGGGACACTCCTTTGCTTTGGTATTAGAGGATCAAAAGTTTTAATGAGTTCTATAAGAATTATATTTTCTTGTGATTCTAACTACTCTAGATCTTAGTAATTTCAGTAATCCAAGTGCAAAATGCAGAGAAAAAAATAGTTTAAAAGCAAAATAATTGTATGCAGTGGCACAAGACTAATTAATAGGACAGCCTATGATGGAAACATAAACAATAATGTGGATAGTTTTCTGAATTCTTGTCAATAGGAAGTGCATTAGCTTAAAGTAATTACACTTTTCCTAGTTACTTTAAAATAACCTACTGACACGCAAAGAAACAGCTGAATCTTTTCAGTTTCATTCAGATGTCTAAAAACAATACTGAGTTCTGAGTCTGTGTTTATTAAACATACTCCTTCCTCACTGAAAATGAGAATTTTTATAACATGTAAGCTGGTTTTAATGGTAAAAAACCCCTCAATAGATAAACTTGTGCTAGGACTGACGAGCCCAGGTGGTTACAAGCTGGATCTGAGCTCCCAGGAGCTGGGCATGCAGTAGTTGGAGGGATTTTATCTCCTTTCTTCTCTGGGCTTCTCCTCACCCATATCATCTGTTTTTTGATCATGTAGACACAGAAAAAAAAAAAAAAAAAAAAAAAAAAAAAAAAAAAAAAAAAAAAAAAAAAAAAAAAAGTGGTTCTGAAGTATTAAGATGGTTTGTTACATTTCTTTGTTTTAAACCAAATAACTAAGGTGGCTAAAATCTGGAAGTTCAGAATCAACTCTCAGCAGTACTGCTTAGCCAGCCACATATTAGTCATTGTTCCTGTTTTCTCTGTAGCTCACAAAGTTTCAAGCTGACCTAGCATTCATTTAAACAATTTTTTTTTTTCTATCCTTAGCCTCAATGTCTTACCTTTTTTTTTCTAGTATGTCAGACAGGAGTACCTCTAGGCTTTGTATGTTTTAATGCACATGAACCATATTAAGAAATTATCTGAGAATTTTTTTTCATTTTGATCATAGTAAAAAATTGCTGCTGAAGTGGCTCTTTGAACTGCAAGGCCATCCTCAGTGACCTGGTAGACTGAAAAACTGTACTAACCAAAAATTTTTTCAACTCACTATAACTGTATGGTTAGAAGATGGCCCACAAGAAAGAACATGTGGTGGCAATGGCACGTTGTTTAAGAATTGCTGTGCCATACTGGTTGTTATGTATCTGTACTGGTTCCTGAGGTAGCTCTGAAGCAAAAGGGGACTCCACATAACTAAATACAAACTTTTCTGTGTTCTTGTTAGCTACATCTCTCTGCTGTGAAACTGGCAGAGTTGCATAGTGATCTAAAAATACAAGAAAAGGATGAGCTGAGCTGGAAAAAACTGAAGGCTGAAGGGCTGGATGAAGATGGAGAGAAGGAAGCCAAGCTCAGACGCAACTTAAATGGTAAGGGCTGTCTTGGAAAGAAGGAGTTTAAACTTTGCATCACACACATGCGTGGTTAAACACTTGTGTTTAAACTATTAAATAACAAGTTGCCTCTCTGGACACTGAGCACACAACAAGTTCTTTGCAGGTCAGTAGGGAGCTGCAGGAGCCTAAGAGTCCTTTGCTCTCAGTAATTTCAGAAGAGGTCACTGAACCTGGGATCATCGTGTATTGAATTGTTAGCTTTTCCTCCATGAGCTGCAAAGTCCAGCTCTGCAAGTGACAGATGTAGCCCACCTCTCACCTTCCATACATACATAGTTGGTTCTCATGTTTCTGTAACTTCTATTCTCTTGCAGTCATTATGACTAAATATGGAATGAATGGAAAGAAGGA